ACCCGCTACTCGGGAAACAGAAGGAAATCGCACTCAACACACTTGTGTGTTGGTGCCTTTCCTTCTGTTTCTCCTAGCTATTGCTAGCTACCCGGGCGGTTTAAGACGAATGTCCCGCTCGCCTTCTACTTTCGTTTAACTAAGTGGGCCTCGTAACTACCCTATTTTTCTTTCTTGCCCTCTTAGTCTGCTCTTTTTTCGTTGCTTTTTCTGTCCTTCTAAGGCTTTTTAGGTGTCTACTAGTTCTTCGTTGCGCCAACAATTTGGCGCTTTTTGTACAAATGTTCCCCTGGGAGTTAGGACGCTACTGGAGGCCCCTGGCCTTACTACTACTTTGACCGCGCCGAAAACGGCTCTGTGTGTGTGTCCACCCCTGGGCAAAAGGTTTTCGTCCACTGGTTCAACGGTAGGGGGTGTCTTGAAAAAGCGCCGAAGCCGGCGACTTGTGTGTGTCCACCCCTGGACAAAGGGTTTCCCTCGACCACTCCAATCAGGCAGGGGCGTGTGGCACTCTCGCCCTACCACACGCAACGAAGCTGTGGGCGAGAGTGGGAAGCAGGGCCCGATCAGCCCTGCGTACCTGCTTTTCTATCAAGCTGTGACTCCACTCTTCCTTTGGTTTGCTTCATGGTGTTTCCATGATACTTCCCCTAAACCCTCCTTTTGCCGCGTTGTCTTGCAGCTGAGCCGCGCCGACCGATCGTTCTGCAGACTGACCAACAACTTGTTGAAACACCTACAAGTCTTTCAGACTCTCCACCATGCAGTTCCATCACCTTCCTTCCCATCGGAGAAATTGAGTTTAACTGAAAACCAGTGTCAGAGTGTGACTTTAGTTGTTTTTTGTAGAGAGTTTCTTGCATTGTCAGCTCATGATTATGGACCCCCAAAAAAATTGCCGGATTGTTTCCTGCAATACCAACCGCCTTTAAACCAAAAGATATTTGGCACATGGTTAAACAGTGCCAGTGCATTGATTATATCATGAGGTTTTGCGTGTTTCGGGTACCTAAATCATTGGACCCTTCTTGTCATTTGATGTTTGCCCCCTTTCTTCACAACCTTCATTGTCCGTTTGCGGCTCCGGATCCCCCAAAGCCAACCCGAATCCCAGAACAACCCCCGAGAAGATTAGATCGACATGGTCTATACATATACCCAGACACTCCATGGGACTGCCATAAATGCCGCCCCATTGACCCCCAAAACCACCCCAATGTAGGCATATAGACATGGAGTGTCTGGGATATATACTGCATATATTAGATGTTTAAACTACATTAAACGCGTACTATCCAAAATGGTGGTTTTTCAAGCTCACAAAGAGCATCCCCCCACTCGTAACCCCCTAATGAAGTTGGTCCCTCCCACATCAGATTGAATTGGCGGTTGTTCCAGATGATTTGGGTGCCCGATTGTCTAGACCTTCTCGTGGGGTGTTGATTCATCATTGTTTGGACGGTGTGAGATATTCAGATGTTCACCCTTGGCTTGGGCTGATTGAACCCAATGACTACATTTTGCAAGTGAGTTGAAACCACCAACCACTTCTGAATTGACAACTATCGCTTGCACTTCACAATGCTGCTACATCCGATGTAGAAGACCACCTGGAGCAAGCGGCGCTTTTTTTAGCACCCGATTTGTAGATGTTGGAAAGCACATTCGGTCTCAGGTAGCACGGCAGGCTGTGAGTCCATGTGGCTGTGGGTGATGGAATCGGTCCATCCTGGTTTCGTACTACCTGGTATCGGTCGTGCTCGCGGCGCACATGGTCCACACCACGGATCCAGGTGGAACGCCCCATCCTCACGTCGAATGCCCCAGGTTACATGCTCTTCTTAGAGTGAGCGCCTGAGCACGTCGACGTCAGTCACTGGCGACACCTGCCGGGCGGCGTCGCAGACAGTTCGGACGGTGAGCAGGTGGTTCCTTTGCTTTTTTGGGTCAGCTGGGATTGTGCCAAGCTGCTTTGCATTGAAACGATTGGGCCATCAATTCGTTTGTGTTCGACTCACCCATGTGCCGAGGACACAAACTCAACCTTGAGAATTCCACGTGAGGTATAGCAGCTACTTGAGAAAGCAAGAGGTCTCTGAAGAGGAGAAAGAAGAGAGAAGGTGCGGCAGAGGTCTTTGCTTCGTCGTCTTCGGGTCATGAGTCGAACATGAACACTCAAAGCCATCGTACACTCCCACTCAGAGCCACATGGATGCGCAAAGAAACATATGTCCCCAGAGCCAATTGCTCTTCCCGGTGCCTACTTTCCACTTCCATATTAGTGGGTCAGAGTGTAAATGAACCTTGGGCATGTTGATCTGCAAGACACCGTGGTATGTCAAGTCTCGAAGCAGAATTCATTGCGTGGATGAGGATGCAGGCCATTCCAGGGTAAATGAAACTGGACCACTTGAGCTACTAGTTCACACACCAAAGAAATGTTCGACGCTCGACGCATCCTATTCACCCTTTAAGCGGACTATGATGTGGAAAACTACTTCTTGACCATGTTGATTTGCTTTCTGCAAAAGCAGCGTTTACAATGTACAAGAGGGGACCCACGCACCACGAAAAAGAAGAACATGACAGACTTGTTCTGGCTGCATAGCGGTCCAGGAACCAGGTCCAGGGGTGCGTCCGAGCGTCCAGGAAGCAGCTGGAGCCTCTTTTGAAACAATATGGCCTTGACAAAGAAGAGTCCATGCCTGAGACGCACCGATTCCTGCGGGTGGCTGTATGGCTATCGTGGCTAAGTGTATAGGTATCTATCTATAGCAGCTATAGCACCAATCTGTATGGCCCACCGAAACATCGAAAAATCCCGGATGATCCCGTCACATCTATATAAATCTTTGCGTCACATGCGTCACACGCATCACGTCAATAGCATCACCGGCATCACCGTTCGCATCCCAGTTCGCACCGGCTGTGCCCATTCGCCGCGTTCGCTCCGTCGACGCGTCGTTCCGGACCGAGCGAGCGAGCGCCGCGTCGCTTCTTAGCCGCCGCCGGGATTCGCGGTGTTCGACCACGATTCGACGAGGACCTGCGAATCCGGGATGATGGTCACCGACTTCGAACGTTTCGATGTGTTTGCAGGAGATATAGAATGATAAATAGATATATATAGATAAAAATTCGATCTGCTTGCTCCCCAGTCATCTGCCTGCTCCACCGTCCAACCAAACAGCCGTTGAGGTCGGACGAAAGCTCCTGGACCTGGCCCCTGGGCGCCAAGTTCGTGGGTGTCGCACTGTCCCGCTGTGGCACCGCGATCGGAAGCTCACGAAGAAACCGTTGGTCGGTGGTTTGATCTCAGACGGAGCGGTGATCGAACAGAGTCCATTTGATCATCGATGTTAGAAAGGTGAAAACAGTGATAAACAGAAGTCGGAAGAAAGGACAAACGGATGGACTTGGACATGTTCACATCAGTTATATGTCAACTCAGTTCTCCAAACTACCTGAGAACTGTTCTATAACTGCTTGGGACGAAGTTCGCGATGCGGTCGATTTGACGAAGCCTTCCCCGTGCTTCCCCCTTTCAGGTCCCCACGGTCGATCGGTCGTAACGGTCGAAGCTGCGAACGGTTGGAGGCCATCGCGGTCGTAGCAAGAAACTAGTAGATAAGGGCATTACTACTAGTCGCAAGAAGCTACAGCAACAAACTCACTGGTTCTTTTTCTGCAAGGATGATCATGCTGTCCCTGCTGGCTCTCCTTGCAGCAGTGGCCTGGCGCCCGGGCGACCAGGAGGCGCTGTGTTTTGTAGGGTTTCCACCACCCAGACCACGCCATGAACAGAACACACTGAGAGAGAGACAGCTTCGGGTCCATCCTGCGAATACATGCATTCTCGACACTGAGGTCTATTACGCCATGTTTCGTGCTGAGGAGAAGGAACAGCTTCTTTGAGAGCCATTGGATGGCAGATGTAAGTTATTAAGTTATAATGATGCAGCTTATTTAGGCCCATTGTTCCGTGTCATTTACTGTACTAGTCGTCATGCAAGTCATGACGAGTACAAAGACCTTTGGCTAAGTTGGGATTCTTCTCTGGCAAAACATCCAAAGCTAATGCGAGCAGTCACCGGGTTGGGAAGAGCCCAATCCAGGTGCATGTTATGTCACTGAGGGCATGAACAGCCATTCAAAAAAGACGTTCAAAAGGATGGGACTGCTTGAAGGACACCAATCCTGACTGGTGCTTAGTAAGGAATGACGGAATTGTTCAGCCCCCCCAATAAGGATTTGGACCCATTCTCTCATTCCCTTCTAAGCACCAGTCAGAATTTTGTTCCACATGTTGTTTTGAAATGGGCCAACATGCAACATGTTGCTCATGGCTGTTTCCCCCACGAAAACCCGTCATGGGTGAAGAGGGGGAGGTTGCCATTGAACAAGGCAAGGGTTCAAATCATGCAAAGTGCAACAGTAGCTGTCATGGCTACCAACTGGTGAGTATAGCATTTGGTCCTTCGATCGCGACTGACTTTTCATTGTCCTTCAATCGGTCTTTTGGTGGATCCGCACAAATCATTTCATCAAATCTGCTACCGCACTTCAGTGTCGGGTAGATCCCTGCTGGACTGGAACACAACCCTAACTTGAAGGACGTTGAACCAACTGACTAGGGCCAGCTTGTGGGTACCTGCATCGTCGCTGGTTTCCAGCGCTACCGGTTGGTCCAAGATCATGAGTTTGGCCGGAACACACCCACATCACCAAGCACCCGTTGGCTGGCAAATTCTTTTTGAAGGCTCCTGCAGAACTTGGGAACTGATCCCAGAACTTTTGTGAATAGACTAAGGAAGTCGCGCAACATAACAGATTCGAAAGTTATTGATAATTGAATTGTCAAAGGACTGCAACTGGCGGCATGTAGCTGCAAAGTAATCAATGGACATTGTTTTTCATGATTGCATCATCAGAGTCATCAGTCACAAATTCCAAACCAAGGAGTGCTGAGTTTGAGCATACCTTTCTGAAAGGCAATTTGAGTCAAGAGTCAAGACCGTTCAGGAGTGCTTCCTGGACATGCGAACGTCGCCATGCCGAGCCACGTGTTGGCCGCCAACCGTTTTGCGGCGCTGCGCTCGGACTCTGAAGAAGAGGGCGAAGATGGAGAAGCTAAGCCTAGGCGGAAAGTAAAGAAAGGCATCAAAAGAAAAGCTGGAAGCCTGGACTTTGCATCGGAAGATTTTCTTTGTCATGGAAGCTGTTTGTGTGTTGTTTTAAACCACCACACAGCTCTGGCGCTGTCAGGCTCGGACAGCACCTTTGAAGGGTACAAACTGTTTGGAGCACTTAAGGGCTGATGGCTCACGTATGACTACCATTGATGGAAGACTTCCCAAAGTCCATACCGTGGCTTTTATGGTCTCAGGTAACATGTCTTCCTCCAACAGCAATTAGGATCCGTGATCCGATGGTTACAGTATAATTACGTTTGTTCCAGCACATCCTCAAGGTGCCTACATGCCTGCCTAATTTGTCCGTAACGCCCCTTTGCAAGGTCTGGGTTGCTTTTGTGACTCATTGATTGGTCCCTTCTGGTGGTGACCTGTTTCCGCTTCTGTCAGCTACGCAGACAGGAAAGTTGAAGTCGAAACAAGAGGCTTTGACGCCCGAAGACCCGGTGCTTGGAGCAACAGACGCTGAAGTTCCTTAGCCAAGTTATTGGGTTTGATCTCTGTGGTTCAACTCCACGGCATGCTTCGGAATGCATGTTGAATGGACGACACAATCCCACAAATCATTCTTGTATGGAGCCAGCCTTCGAATTTTGCCACCCACCCTGAACTCTGAACCTCCATGAAGACCTCACATGCTCGAGCTCGCACATGGCCCACATAGGTGAATCTTTGGATCACCCAAGCATCAATGTTTGGCATCATGAACCCACATGTAGTTGTAGGCTCAATATGACAGAGAAACATCACACATGTGTTGAATATTGCTCAAGGGAACCGATGCGACGGGCCATACCTCGTATTCCTCAAGGTGCAGCGAAGGCCAGGAACGCCATGTCCAGTTCCAGTTCGGGCTGAGGAAGCCCAGGCTGGAGCTTTTTGGATCCCCTTTAGGCCCCATTTCTCTCCTTTTTTTGAGGGCCGTAGAAAGAACATCAGTGGCAACAAAATCAAGATCTCACCCAGACCTAACTCGCTCTTTGAAGAGTTTGTTTAAAGTGGGTTGTAGAATAGACATCGTTGTCGACTTCAATGTAGAGCTTCACCTCTCCCACCTCAGGCTGATGCAGCCGGAGCCTTTGACCCTTCGGCTGGTACCGCACAGCTGCGAAGGAAACGGAAGCGCCGGCCCAGTGCAACGGCAGAGAGGTTGTGCCTGGGCTTGGCTCGGTGCTCATCATCCTCAGACCGCCTTCATGCTGACCATTCGGTTGATAGATGTTGATAGCACTGTAAGTACTGTCATATTAAGAAAAACAAGGACACAGATTCCTGCGGATGTCAGGTGGTGCAAGGAGTGCAAGGAGAACTTGTCCAAGGTGACCCTTCAAAACAACCAATCCAGCAGTGGACAAAGATGTTTAAAACAAAAAAAGCGTGCCTTAAAGGTTATTAGGTCCATTGGGTGTTTGAAGCTTAACACGTTCACGAGTGATCAACTTCAAGCACTCTCCTGTTCGTGTGTCAGCCGCATTTGAGGAGCGGTCACAAGCACTTCCGAAGTTTTTGGCCTGGCTATAGGGCCTGTAGGACCTGAGCCGTTCAAAGCTGATGTTTAGTGACTCTAAAAGCATCCACGACTTCTGGAATGCACCAAGACGCAAGGCATCTGGTTTTTCACATGAACTATGCATCGGAACGGTTTCTGCGTTTTTGGATGCACCGCTGTGGTGAGCCGCTTTGGACACTTCGGTGACTGGTCAAAACCGCTTTCCCTACCACTGGACGAGCATCAAAACACGCCACTACGTCAGTCCTTGTAGACTCCATCAGTCCTTGTAGACTCCATCAGTCTTTGTAGACCGGTCCTGACTTGCTGAAAGTTAGATGATGGCTCAGTTGGTTGCTCCTATTGTGACTCAGGAGTTGTTGACCTCAACCGGAATCATTGGAGCTATAGATTCCATGAGCTATGTCAACTATCTTCGTAGCGAACACATGATCACTCCGCACGAATGCTCGGAACGCCTTGGCTACACCGCGGCGGAACCCGCCTCGCCGCGGCGTCGCCTGGGTGTTCCGAAGTCTCGGAACCCAGGCTTCACCCAGGAAGATTAACATGGAACCCGAACATGGAAGTCCATTTACAACCTGACGTGGTTTTCAGGTTCCAATGTGGGCCTCGAAACCAGGAAGTCAGCCCTGCAGGGCTGACTTCCAGGATCCCACTGCCTCCCGGGCTCTGGATCCAAGGTCGGAAGGAACTGCCACTGCTCGGTCGGAGATGACCGAGGTCGGATGTTTCGACGTGGGCAGATGGGTCACTGATGACCGCGGTGAGAGACGAATGGGTCACCGATGACGTGGGCAGACCGTGTTGAAACAAAGAACGGGAGCAAACGGGCATCAACCGCTTCACCTTGGTAGAAGCCAGTTGACTGTTGTTTGTCCACTGTCCTGAATAAAAGTAGGTCCGACCTGATTCTGGCAGGTAGAACCCCCATAGAAACGAGTTCCATGCGGGGGTCACACATTGATGTCTCAGCCCATCCAGACCCATCCAGACCCATCGGGTCGCGGAGGTTCGGTGAGAACCCCTTTCGTCTCCAAAGAAAATCAACATCACTACCCAACTCTAGAACTGGTTGATGCTCGTTGGAAGCTTGGGTGTCGTGCCCACCAGGAAGCCCGAGTGGACACCAAGCACGATCCAGGCTTTACGAACCGCCCGGCCTGGGGCGGAGGGGGGTCGGGAATGATTGAATTAGACATGACAGGGATGCATTGCAATTGCCTTTGGTGGTGTAAGTGTAGCTGGATCGTCGTCATATACTGTAATATAGTATAATATTTATAATATATGACCATTTATGCCAGAACTTCTTCCTGGCCTGTGGCCCTTTGACACTTCCCTGCCCGCAGGGACCCTGCTTCCACTGGGCGCCACCAAGACACTGCCCGGCGGTGTAGTCATCAAGGCCCCTCTCGTCCGTCGACGTCCAAACGGTGCAACGGACGGGGCCGCTGTCCGACAGACGACGCGTCGGAGACTGCCGGGCAGATTGAGAATTGGCAGCTCCGCGGACGGCGGACGAGTTCAACTATTAAGAGATCCAGTTAAGATGTCAGTTCTATGATAACTTATGATGTTCTGATTCATTCCATGGCTGCCCAAATTCCATCTATCTGGAGCATTTGATCAGACTTCTTCAACCTATCACTATCACCTATCTTCAACACCCAAACCACACAGGCCGACCCGCCCCGCCATAGCCCGCCATACATAGCCCCGCCCAGGTCCTGCGTGCAGCACCCTTCGGTGCCCCAGTGGCACTGAAAGGCTCCGAAGTGCGGCTCATCTACGAGGCGACCGGGCTGAGTTGACCGGGCGGTGCCGGAACCTGCATCGGTCGAGTTGACCTGCAGCTGGGGTCCCGGGTTTTGGTTTGGCTGTGAGGTGTAAGTGTAAAGCAACTAATTAAAGATGTCAGTGAAAGCAATCAATTTCTGCTCATATGTCGTTTTAATCCAGTTTTATCAATGTGTGTTTTTTTTCTCCCACTTGAATTGTATAGGATTGATTCAATGTTGATCAGCAGCTGGGGCGAGCCAGGGTCTGGGAATCTTCTCTCCAATCCTAGGTCCTAGACTTGAAGCTCTTATTGGATTTGGTTCTCCTGGGTGTGAGTGTATCAATTGGAGAGACATCCTACAAGAAGAAACAGCAGAACGGCTGTCGAGTCGCTACCTCAAGGTGAAAAGGTAGCGACCTCATTCAGCGCCAATTTGTTGTTTTTCTTCGTTCTGACTGAGTCAGATCTCTTCTCACCGAGCCCGGGCCTTGCATCTCACCCACCCGAAGCAACGGAATGTCCGTCACATCGGCCGAGCTCTCGTCCACATGGCCACTGTTCACCGCTGCGCGAGCGACCCCAGCCACCGCGTCAAGGGGCGATTGGCCAAGAACCAGCGGCGCTTTGACAATGGGGAGATTGACTTCTTGCTGGGCGATGTGGGCATCTTAGTTCGCGATGAAGACGGATGAGAGTGAAGACGGGCAGGTTTTTTTGGTGTTAGCAAGCCGAGAGAAGAATGGTCTTATCATGTGTTATCCCCTTAAATCCCCAAATATATATATATATACTTTGGGAAACGGCAGACCTTTAATTCATGTTCTTTCCATTTCAATTGGAGAGCCCTTGACGGAGACTCACCTGGAAATGAGAGAAACATCATGTGGAATGACCTCTCATAGGTGACGAGGCCAGTCTTGACAACTTGTGAAGAGGCTATTCCGTCAGCTTAGAATGCAACATGCAAAAATAACAAATAAACATGTGGAGCAAGAACGCTACTAGGAGCAAAGGGCATCGCTACTAGGAGCGAAAGGACGCTACTAGAACCCACTTCCAGAAGTATCAGAAGTACTGGACGTGCGGCACAGGTTCATCAAAACCTCCACGACTCCAGGGTTCCAAGTACGTGGCAGGTGGCGAACCCAAATCTATCGCCAACTGAGCTTTTCCCCACAAAAATTGCGGTTGCCTGTCAAAGAAAATGGCTTGATTTCTGTCGAGAGGTCATGTTTGATGTCAGGCTGTCAGGTGTGTTTTTTCTAAGAGTGGCCAACACGCCCCAAGAATCAAAACTTACAAGTCAAGCTTCATTACTTTTTGAGCAGAAGAGGTCAGACCATTAAGCTGCAAGGTTTCCGGATGAGCTCTTGCAACAAAATCCATCTCAAACTGTGTGTTTGATCTTTCAATCCATGACTCATGTCCAAGCCTCTAAATCCTCTTGATACATGTTGATGCTCCCAGGTCCAAGTCTTTTCATTATGTTATAATATATTAATACAGCTTCTTCAAAGTGACCTTTTGAAGGTTCCTAAGTGACCCTTAGGAGGCTTAAGTGACCTCAAACCAGGTTATCAAAAGGTCACTTTGAAGAACCAGGATATATTATATGTATCTCAAAATCTGCGCAGATTCTCATGTTGTGCAGGGCACCATGCTACCGGGCTTCGTTCAAGGGGTCACTGGCATGGGTGTGGGCGAACGGCGCTTGATCCAAATCCCTTGGAAACTGGGCTACGGGCGCCTCGGCTGTGCGTCCGGATGGAGGCGCTGGGAGTGCAAGCTGAGTTCGAACATCGGTGGTCAAAGCTTTGACAAAAACACCATCACCACATGTGTGTTTTTGTTCTTTTAATCAAAGCATTACTGTAATTTTGCTTCAAGAGCACCCTAATTACAAGGGGGCGTAAGGGGACCAAAGATGTTTCGAGGATGTTTCCAGGATGCTTGCTTGGTTTGGGAGTATACCCTTGGATGACCACGTTTGTGGATTGCCTGGATCCACTGCCGACGTCTCCTCCCCACAGTTGACTACTGTACATCCCCAAATACCACGCCTCAGGGTACACAGACGGAAGGTAGTCGAGACTGATAGTTCCCGAAAGCTGAAAGAGGTTCCCAGGTGAAACGATGCCGTTCACACCGAAACGAGATTCGCTGAACCGCCATCACGATGCCACCACTTTAACACCAGGGGTTTCATGGACCTTTCGATCAATGGCCAGCTTTGGGGAACCCAAAACTCTGGTCCATGGCCCTCGCCCGCCGGTCCTCGACGTCGATCTTCTGCGCCAACCGGGCTGCCCAACTCGCGGTGGCGTCGCTTGGCCTTCCCAGTTCCGGCCTGGCCATCGCGACAGAACCGAGTTCCGAGCGCCCAACTCTTCCCAGTGAGGAAGAAGGGGAAGAAGCCGAAGATCCCTCCCATGAGCGACTTGGACTTCGATGCCTCGCTCACCTTCTGCGGCATCGACTGGAAAGAGCGCTCCAAGAAGTCGGAGCGCCCGGTCCGGAGACGCCGGGACCCGGAGGGTTTTGGGCGCTCCTGGAGGTCCTGGGGTTTGGGAGGTTCGACTGGAGCAGTCATGGTGCTCTTCAATGCTTTTCACAGCCTTCATTGGAGAAGCAGAGGAGAAGTACCCCCACACAGTGACAGGGGGGAAACAGCGAATCATTCGGACTCATCAGATCCCTGCATGGCTGTGCTCACCCAGAATCTCTGTCCGTTCTTTTCGGGGTGAAAACGGCTGAGTCGGAGATTCCGACTCATTTTGACAGATTTTGACCAACTCATCTTGTATTCCAGGCTTCTGGGGATCTGATATTACAGGATATTCCAGGAATCTCTTTTTCACAACCCTGAACTCTGAACATTGATGGACGCAAAAAGAACATCTCAGAACATCTATACTACTTGTAGCACCGCCCAATGAATGGTTTGTAGACCCCTTGACCATGTCTTTTCCTTATTCAACATGATTTGTTTGACTGGTGCTAGTACATATAGCCTTATAGCGTTAGCCATTTCGCTTCCAACAAATCCCCTTCAGCAGTTTGAAGCTCTTGTTGCCACGCCCTTCCGTCAGGAGATGTCCAACAAGCGCCGGGAGGCAGCGAAGCGCCGTGGCAAAAAGCCCAGAGCAACCTGACGTGGAAAAAGAGAAACAATGCGACTGCGCCTGCGACTCGTTCTCGGCTGCCGCCAACCATGGACTGGACTGCAAAGTCTCGACGGCCGCGCGTTTGGCGCCTTTCTGTTTCTCCAGCGCGTTTGTGGTGTCCGCCACGCCGAGAATGGCACTGTGCAACCACTTCCCAGAGAGGGTCCGGATTCTCATCGACTCCCTCCTTTTCCGCAGACCAAGTGGCTGAGGAACTCTTTCTGCCTTCCCGGGCCGCCCAGCGCCAGCCACGTCTGTCTCGCTGGTCGGCTGGTCGGCTGGGTCCATCGGACCCTGGACCGACGTGGCATGTCGTGTCACTTCGAGTCTCCAGCATTGGCGACACGACCTTCGATTTGGCAACCCGACTCTGGTCGTGCCGTGACCACCGTCTCTTTGCGGCATGTCGTGGCATGTGTGTTTCAATGGCGAAAAACACGTCTCTTCGTTGGCACCCCTTCTGGTTGTATCAGGCGGCTTCGACGGATCTGTGTGTTTGGGAAGAAGCAAGTTCTCAAGACGGTCTTTTTTTTGAAGCTCACCGCTGCCTTTGTGTTGCTGTATGTTGCTGTAATTTCTGGTTGTTTCATCATGGTTCATCTTCTATTTGCCACTCCAACATGGTTCTGGTTCTTCTTCTGGTTGTTTCTGGTTGTTTCATCATGGTTTTTGATCGAGAAAACGAGAAAACGAGGCCACTCCAACTCGAACGTCAGACCGCCGCCACGCGCCGCCACGCCGATGTTTTGGAGCGGTCCCTCCGCTGTGGTCCCTGCGCCCGTTCCTCCACTCCTTCTCAAAGGGCTCTTCAGCCTAAGTCCGTGCCGTGCTTGTTGGTCTTTTTGAGGTCTTGATCAGGTGAACCTCTTCTCACCAGCAGATGGAGTAGTTTTTCGTCTGAGTAGTTGGTGGTGAAGTGAGACTTTCGCAGCGAGGGAAGAGGTGATATTTTTATTGCCTGTGAACCGTAGGTGGTTCTCATAACGTTGGTAAAGCCGGTGTTTTCCTCACTTTTGCCTGCTCTGAACGTTCGATCCGCTCTACGGGTCGTTTGGTGTTCTTCTCCCCTGGTGAACGTGCGAACGTGCCCTGGTGAACGTGCGAACGTGCCGCTGGTGAGCTGGTGAGCTGCTGAAAACCGGTCTGGAGGTGATACGAGATATGGAGACCATGCGAGCAACATGAAACCATTCGGCCAAGCAAAAAGAACGGTATCCTTTGCCCTGGGAGTCCAAGGGTATCCGAAAAACTGGCCAAAGAACATGTATACCATTGGGTGGCTGTGAGGCCAAAAGAAAGTAACGAATTCTTGTAAGATTGAATGGACTTTGTGATATTTTGTGCATGGAAACAATATGAAGCAACAATATATTCGAGGTGGAGAGTTGCAATATGAAGCTTGCCGCCTTGTTGTGCTGAAAGCCGCTTTCCCTGTGCGAAATCGCTGGAAAACGAAGCGGATCCCCATACCTGGACGCAACAAAGGCACAACTCGCTCCACTTGGCAGGACTTGGAACTTCAATTTCATTTGTTCGGCTCCTTTTTTCAAAGCGCAAGACTTCCACTCAGAAGATGTTCACGCGTTGTGAAGTGTTTCATGGGCATGGGCCACCATGATGTTTTCATATGTTTTCATGTGCAACATATTCTCCTTGCACATGAGCGTTTTGATCATGCCTACTTTGCCCGTGTCAATGGACCAATGAGTCTGCTGTGGAGATCTTCCCCGCTGGAAGACGAATGTTCTTAGTGGGACTCTGCAGCGACGGTTGCGCGAAGAGAAGCTCTAGAAGCCTCAGGTAAGTAAAATGGGCATGGCGAAACTAGGCCCCTTCTTGCTGACTGTTGGTCAATAAGACCCTTTTCATCCCTTTTCTGATAGAGTCAGAGGGAGGTTGTTAATCAACAGCTTCACATGTACTTTGTATGTTGTCAAATTATGTTCATTCTGACTGTTCCAGTTTGGTCGGACCTCTCCTTGCTTCCTCAGTGGATTTGCGATGTTTCCACATTCCCCGCTGCTGGTTCAGCAGGTCATGCGCCAGCTGTGGGCCATATGGGTCTGAGACCGAACCTGAACACCATGGGGTCCTCACCACGTCGCTTTGTAGAGGAAAAGAGTCGACACCTCGCAGGTCAGGTATCGCCAGGTGCCATGCCTTCTGGGTCGACCTTGTCCGGGTGTGGTTGCACCTACGACATCCGACTCACCATCTCTCTCGGTGCTACCTTGTCACCAGTGTTGATCCTTGGTGTCCAAATGTTTACATCCAAAAGCCACTCTTTTCTGGTGGGGCGATTTGCGGTTCACTGCGTGCCTACTGTAGGCAGACCTGTGGCACATGTATATTATGTAAGTAAGCAGACTCATTGTTACGTCACCACAGTGCAAGGCTATTGCCAACCCTTCTGTTTGCGTTCTTCTCAAGGCTGAACAACACAAAGAAGCTTGCCACTCATCGCCACCAGAACAAGCACTTTGCAAGACAACGCCAATAAATGAACCTGCTTAGCTCACCTCGATGTCGTAGCTCACGGCCGCCTCCTTGCTGCGTCGCAGATTAAGGAAGAAGAGAAACTCTTGCGCCCAGAGGGGTGATTGGTCGTCTAGATGCTGACAAGCGCACATGAACACCAATCAATCCAGACACAGACAGCATCGACCTGCGGCTTTCTGCCACCGCCGTCCTTCGCCGTCGCGACTCTCCGGTGGATCGGCCGTGTGGTGTCACGCATCACGACGGCACAGACGGCTGGCTTTCTCCTCCCCTTCACTCGCTTCATAAGGCTTCCGTTCTGCAGAGAACGCTCTGGCATTGCTTCTCCTTGGCGCACAACCTGCCACTGCTTGAGGGGAGGCATTGTGGCCGGCCTGCAATGACCACGCACACACGCCCGAAAGCCTTGTTTGGCACAGGCACCCCCTACCGTGCGTTCTACGTCGGCTTGCTCGACTCTTTTCGACATTTTGTTTCTTTTTATTTTGAATGGCGATCATTGCGGAATGTGGTGAGTATATAAAAACATGTTTAGTTTGTTTGTCATAATTCTTTTGACGCCGCCCCCTGGGTCTTGCAGAGTATGATGATGGGGGTTTGCCCATGCACCATGCACACGCACAGCGTCATCTATTCGGTCGCCCTCTGCGTGTGACACATCAGTGCCCTATGCATGACCCTTGCATTGCAAGAACGACACACAAAATCAAAAAGATAATGTAAAGAATACGGGTCGTGCCAAGCACCAAATCAAAAGCACACCTCAAAGGACATGCCGTTTCTCCGAGATGGTAGCGGAACCTATGATCTCCGCGATGAAGCTATGAGTAGGACAGGCCATGTGCGTGGCAGCGTTGCCTTCACTGCGCCTGGCAAAGTCAGAAGAAACACTTGATGAACAGAAGCCCCTAGTGGCGTTCTTGTTCCTAGTAGCGTCCTTGCTCCTTGTAGTAAGGCCAGGAGCCCTTAGTAGCTTTTTGCTCCTAGTAGCGATTCCAGGAGCCCCTAGTAGCTTCTTGCTCCTAGTAGCGATGCCAGGAGCCCCTAGTAGCTGCTGGGTACTAGTAAGAGATCACAGGGGAGGTCTCGGCCTGAAACAAGCATTGAAGGCAGCATGAGGTTGAAATTCGATGCCCTTGACCAATCATTCATCGGGTCCAAGAGCCCTCCAAGGGGGGCGTTGAGATGGGGAATGTGACGATGAACGCAGATGGAGCGGAGCAGGTGGTTTTGAGTCTTGTTGGGGACTTCATTGATGATGCATTGAAGCCCTGTGAAATTGCAGAGCAGAAGCCACAGATGCAAGAGACAATGGATAGCAAAAGTGGCTATGCTAATGAACCCTCACAAGGTGCCTGGGAGCTACCTTACTTGTACTAATTACAAAGTCGCATGTCGCAGTGCAGGCGGAGCCCCGCGCCGCCAACCTAGCATGGGGCCCGATCTACGCAATCCGCCTCCTCCGCCTAAGATGACTCAATCCAAGAGCCAGGCCCCACCCGAAGCAATCCATGGCGGAATAGAGAAACAAACGTGTCAGACAAAGACGCAAACCTTCACGCCCGGAGGTTCATCCAATATTTTGTCATTCACCAACTTCAGCCCACGCGGGAGCTAAAGCAGTTGCAATGTGTTTGAAACCTTTTACTCTTGCTTTGCCCCGTAACTGCCATGGGTCAAAACCACTCTTGGTGGAAAGAACTTGCGCGTGCATGCCACCGAGCGAGCACTGTGTGAATTACACGGCATAGACCCCAGATATCGGGTGTATAGTGTTTGAGGGAAAAAATGTCAATGTCTAATAGTTTTCGTTGCCCATGAGCGTCGCCAAGGGCATTGTCCAGCCCGCCAGGGATGACATCATGTCATGCCAGCGACGACGGCATTTGTCAGGACGGAGCCGATATCCGTTTCTGAAGGATTGATGCAGGTATGCATCGCTTGCTTTTGTGCACGACATCATGTCATGCCAGGGATGAAATCATGTCATGCCAGGGTGACATCATGTCATGCCAGCACGCCCGCACAAAACGCCGACCCGGCAGCGACAGCAGCAGCAGCAGCAGCACACGGAGGAGGCGCACTCTCAGATGCTCACTTTCTCACTCCCACCCTCACACCCCAATTCACACTCACACTCACGCACTCACCCTCCCTCTCACTTTCAGGTTCACCCACACGCACGCTCACCCACACTCACTCTCACCCTCACTCTCACTCACAGTCGCGCTCGTACACACACACACACACACACTTGAGAAGGTTGCTCCGTGGATATTGTCTTCAGGCAATTCGCGGTGAGCATTAGCCCTTTAAGTCTTTAAGTGAATACTTAGCACTTGACTTGCAAAACCGCGGGAATGAAAGGTCAGCGAATCTGAATGTTTGAACAGACGCATTAGCTCTTTAGAATATGTTACAAACTTGTGCAGGTACGTTTTCACGGCAACATGGATGGGTCTTCGTTGGCCCGGGCCCCCTGCTGTTGCAAACTGTACAAT